TCTAATATTTATTCTTTTTCCAAATTAAGAAATAAGACAAAAACATTTCTTATTCAATTAATGAAGCTTGTTTGTTTCGCTTAAATGACTTGCAAAGAGCAGAGTTTAAATAATTAAAAAAGTATATATAAAACTACATCTGTAGGTGTTGCGCAATATATGGAAATTACTGTGTGTACTTAGCATAAAGTTACTCAAAATAACTCTGTGGAAGATGGATGAATAAGTTGATACAAAAGTTTCTGATAAAGCTATCTGCGAAAGTAAAGGACTCATCATCCGCTTGTAGGTGATTTAACCAATAGTGTTTTTTATTCAAAGCCAATCGCACATGCAAATAGTGTTTACAAGAATCTTTTTTTCAAAAGGAGGAAAAAAAAATGAAACACAAAGTCCTAGCACATGCCAACCCGCAAGCGCAAAAAGATTCCCGAGCAGGCTCGCAAAAAATATTGCAATGAAGACCATGAAGACTCGAGGGGATCGAATGCAGAGTAACTGAGGACTTCTAGGCGTCGGCGAAAGACAATTTTACTTTAAAGTTAGGGCAACCCTCCGAAAAAATATTGCTACTATATGGTTTGTAATGTAATTCAAGAACAGCAATACGATGTATAATAAGCTAAATTCCATGAGTCGATTCCGACTTACATATGTGTGTTGAGCGAAAAAAAAGTCCGACAATTCCGTCCGTCCGTTGCGTACCGTCCGTCCCATTCCGATATATGTGCGCGCTCCATTATTTGTTATTTTTAAGATAAGACGGATTCTGATGTATGTACGAAGATTATTCCCAATCTAATAAATTGTACTTACATATGCAGAGTATAACAGAAATAAGTGTCGCAGTACTGTACTTATCAACTGGTGATTACCAATATCAGTGTTGTATTTATTTTGTATTTTTTTGCTTATGTATTGTTTATTTGTTGGGTTAGGTTAGGTGTGATTCAGGGTGTTTACGTTAACAGCCAACCTGTATTGTGCAGTTCAATAAGCTAATTCAGTAATACAACTTCAATTATTAGTATAGGACAGTCACTGTAGAACAGTTGACAAATTCTTGATTTCAAAGAAGACAATCCCCCAAAATAGTACTCGCGAAATAGCAGAAAACGTTGGTAATTTTTAAACAAACAGTTGCTGCATCCTTATCATTTACAGCGAGTGCAACTCTTGTTTGAAAGTGATTTTTAGCTGCGAGTGGATTTGTATCGATGGTTTCGAAAGAAAACTACTGTATAGCCTAATTGTACATAGGGTGTTCTTTACAGACTTTTCTTCACGTGGGAAGGAATAATAATCAATATTGGTCTAACGCAAAATTACATGTTGTACGTTCCACGCGAATTCAAGAACTGTTAGCGCTAAATGCGTGATGCGAAGTTTTTGGATAATTATTTGATATGTGAAATATTATTCTGAAAATTCATTTTTGAATTTTTTACTCACTTTTATTTTCAGATTAATATTTCATATTAAACTAAGTCACTTCTAAAAATTGTATGTATGCTTAATCATAGTATATTCAGTATATATAGTTACATTAGTTCGACGGATCGTTAGCCGTATAGGTCGATTGGTCGTTGTTGCTGTTGTCACCTCTCATAGTTTAGTGGTCAGAACATTGGTGCGTAAAGCCAAAGGTCTCGGGTTCGATTCCCGGCGAGGGTGTGACAACAGCAACAATTTTTCCCTCATTAATTTGAGGTAGCGTGTAGTGGGTAATAAATTCAAAAATGAATTTTCAGATTAATATTTCATATTAAACAAGACTTTCAGTTGTAAATGTCCTTTGACATCACGTGGCTGTAATTGTAATCTAGTATTTTATCTTTATAACTGTGCTGATAACAAGAATTAGGTCAATAATCCTTGTCGGTCAATATTGTGTAGAGACTATCATTCTATTCCTTTATTTCTCATTTTTTAATTATAATCTCGTAAACTACATTCGGAAATTAAACAAATATGAATAACGTCAAATAGTCATTTATGATATATTATACATACCTATATAATAAAAAATGGGTGCGTGTACTTATGTACGCGCGTGAGAAGTTATACTTCTTTGGCATCATTAAAAATAGAAAAATACACAACATGTCAAAATCTTCTGTCACACAATGATAAAGAAAAGACGTATGTAATAAAAAACAATAAAACAAATAACGGATGTCTTACATTATATTTAAATAATCTATTAAATTTTTGTCACGAACTTTTTATTAAATGTTCTATTAAATTTATTTCTTTATTTTGTAAATATTAAATAACCAATAATAAATATTCAACATTGATAATTTAATAATATTTAGTATTAATTATATTAAATAATGATATTTTAATTTATATCAATAAATAATACATAGGGATAACTAACCTCAATTATATTGGAGCACTTAAAAAAGTATTTTAGCACAATTTTTTCACTAATATTCACAAATAGTAAATAATATTAATCCAAATATTCAATTTAAATCACTACTGAATATATTTTATTGCCACATATATAATTCGCACTTGTATGAAAATAAAACACGTGTTGTGACTGTAAAAACTAAAACCATGTGGATAAATATTATAAATAAATATGAAAACAGTGATCAGAGGCGACAAGCGTACCAACATGCGCGACTAAGAGAGGTTTTATTTCTATTTCGTTGGTAGCTTTTTTCCGAGACTTAATGAATTCGGTTGAGTGGGCAACTTCATCCTGTTAATTTTGTGTTACAGTGATGCGCGCGCATCTTGAAATTTCACTCTCATCAGTTTTTCATAACGCGCCTAAAGAAGTATAACTTCAAAAAACTTTTATCGTTAGTTTTCTACATAAAATTAAATTTCGTTGGTATTTGCAGCAGTGGATAACTTCTAACTGATTGAACCAGCCAAATAATTTAATTTAATAATAAATTATAAAATTTTATTTGCAAAATAGGAAGGATTTATAAGTGGACGAGCATTGATTCGGGCATTTGTTTTTAAATTCATTTAGATCGGAAGTAGGTACACATATGTAGGAAATTTCGCACTGCCGCAGTACAAAATTATAAAAGATTTCCTCTGAAAAGTTTTTTTCTTTTGTTGCAGCAATTGCAGGAGCTTGAATGCAGAGGGTGTGCCTTGCTTTCAATTAACGCGGAAGTTTTCCAACATCTGCAGCAACTAGTTTCTCTTGACTTCGGTTCGAACGAAATAGAGCGAATATTCGCAAACGACTTCATGCACCTGACAAATTTGAAAAAGTTGAAGCTCGATGGTAACCGACTCTCCGCCGTTTCCAACGGGGACTTTGTTTATTTGACTAATTTGGAAAAACTAAATCTAGCAAGAAATGCAAACAGCAAAATTGAACCAAATGCTTTCGAAAGGTTATCTGAACTGAGAGTTTTAGATATCGGTTATAACAGATTGGACGAATTAGATTCGAACATGCTAAGAGATCTTTCAGATCAGTTAGAAACGTTGGTTTTGAGTGGAAATGGATTGTCGATATTTTTTGTGATAACATTAAGGAATTCAACTGTTTTGAAGGAATTGCACTTGGCTGACATGGGAATAACGGATATCCCACCGGCAGTTTTGCCGCCGAATTTAGAAGAATTGGATTTATCTGGCAATTACCTTTTTTACTTTCAGCCTGGAGCGATTCCTTCAAACCTTTCTGTCCTTGATATTTCGCGTAATCGTTTCAGAGGGCTCAATGAGGACGTCCTTGTTCAGATAAGTCAAGTGCCTGTTCTAAAATTGAAAGATAATCCGTGGCTTTGTGATATGTGCCACATAATCCCACTTTTACAGAGAGTAAATATAAGTGAAGATATACGAAATGTACAGTGTTTCGGTCCGCGTTCCCATGAAGGAAGAATATTAGGAACAATTTTGCAAAACGAGCTCGAATGGTGCTCCGCTCCTGGCTATACGACAAGCGACACAAGCGGTTATTTTCTACAGGACACCAGGATAGGGATAATAGCGGCAACCGCATCCGTTCTGCTTCTTATCCTAACGGGAACGGCCATTATAGTGGCCCTGTGTTACTCGAAAAGGCACGCTGCAAAATATTATACCCACGAGGAAAAACGGGCGGCCGAAAGCGAGTCGATTTTCGACAATCAGATGAGCTTCCTAGGAGATGATAAAGAAATCAGCTTTAAATTCCCAGTGGACTACGGAGAGAAAAAGGTTGCCATTGCCACTATCGACGACGAGATAAAGAAAGACAAAATGATCACTAACGGACTCTAAATAGTCTGCGGTTTGTGAAATTGTTCATAAGCTGGCCATTTGTGTGATAATGTGATGTGATCTATTGGAATAATCTGAAAAGGCTTTATCAGAAAAGGTTCGATGTAACGAGTGTTCTTTGTTCGCAAAAATGTTAAAGGTGCGAAGACATTTACTTTATTATACGCCAGTATTACGTGTAATAATGCGAGAGAAGCGTTTTCGATGCCAAATATGGGGACCAGTGACAAATACATTCCCTAAACAACAACAACAATAACAACATAGGTAAATAAAAAGAATGCCTTATAAAACCGATTTTAGAAATCTCTTTTCTTTTTTTGAATATATACAATGTAACGTGTGCGTATTATAATACAAATTAAGCTTTTTATAATATATATTGATGTATTAATAATGCCTTAATATACGGTAATAGTTTGATATTAGAAGTGATTTAGAATGACATAAACTTTGGTCTTAGATTGCGCGATGACTCCTTCCGTTTATTGATTTTTACCAATTTCTATCATTTAAATACCTACATTTACTGGTAGAATGGTTAGAATCAAAACAATAACAGCCGATGTCATTGTCTCCCAAATGTACAATATGAATGAGATGAGAAGGTTCATGCCATTCTAAACCACCTATACCGTACGATACATGGTACAAATCATGACACTAGATATACTGTGTTATCAGCATACCATCGTTGTTTAAAAGATAAACATATATTAAGAAGATTTACTAAAGAGTGCGAAAATTGGTCCCGTATAACGGACAGGGAAAAGGCGGGTTTTCCCCAAAAAAATATATGCATACGTGGGTATCTTTAAAGTGCGTATTATTATAGTGAAAATAAAATCATTTCTTCATTGCTGAATTAGCCAGTAAATTTGCGAAAATGTAGTTTTCCAGTATTTTAAAATTTTCTCGACTGTTTACGAAAAAATGTTTCAAGAAGAAGTCGAAGAAGATACTAAAGAGATATACAAAAATCGCTATTTTTTAAATAAACTATTATGATCTGATATCTGTGGTCAATTGTTTATTAAAAAGGCACTTTTGACAACTTAATTAAGAGTTGTACTTTTAATCTGAATTTATGACTTCGCAAAATAATTTGCAAAAAAGTGTTTACTTGGAAAATGAAATAACAAGACGAATTTTATTGCAATCGGCAGTTTTTCTATTAGAAAGACACGATTTATTTTGTAAATTAAAAAAAAACATCATCTACGACCAATAGAAGCTGAGATAATTAATAAATAATACATTGTAAAAGGTGCCCAAATATGCAAAGGTATCGCTGTTTGCTTTTTTTTGGAATCACCCTCCGAATTGACTCTTTTTCCTGGTCTAAAAACGACTGCTGCTAAATGCTATTCGAGCAATTACATTGTCGTTTCGTTCTAATTTTGTTTAATTAAAAATAAAATTAGTAGCAGCAGGTTTAGTGCCAACTTACATAAATAACAATAGTGCTAACTTTACTATTAAGCCAGTTGTTGAGCACCCTTTAGTAAATCAACATAAAAGGTACTGAAACCGGGTTCTAAGTATTATTTTGCTTATGACAAAGTATTATATTCGAGACTTCATACTTAATTATCACTTGACTGTTTATTGATTTTTTTAAATCTTATTTATATCCTATGGTAATTACAAAGATTTTGTAAATACGAGTAAATATCTAATATATTTTAAAAAAAAGATTACAAACTGTAATGTTTATTTACTTCGCTTGTAATTTTGATACAGATAATTATTTCTTCTTTTATTTTAATTATTTTTGTGAGTATTATAGAAATTAAGTAGATGTGATAAACTTGTAAACTGTTTTTGTACAGATTCCATAAGATTACATTAATTTTATTAAATCTGTTCAATTCAAATGAAAATTTCCTCAATAAAACTAAACAGCAGGTATTTAAATAAATAATAAAGTTGCAAGAAAATTATCTTTACATGTATGTATGTGTATTAAGTACTTAATGTTACTAAATCAAAAGAGTGAAAAAATTAAACACATTGACGGCCTTATACATATCATCAGAATTTTATATTTGGCACTGTATTATAGATACATATTTATGTTGTTAGATCAGAAATAAACCATTTAATGAATCGTATTATCATTATTTTATTAATTACACAAAGACAATTACGTAAAGTTGTTAGCCACTAACCGAACATTAATGATTACCAAACAGTTTGCGATGTTAGTAATTCTTTATCGGCAATAGTAGGTTGGTCGAACTGTCTGCCGCGTACTGATGAGACCAAACTAGTTCAAAATCGATCCACGCCTGACAGTTTCGACAGATCATTGATCCAGGTCTTAAGGCACCTAATGGTTTAACTTGTTAACCGAAATATCCGCCATATTGGTATCGTAACATTACGTTGCAATAATATAGGGATATGGGGCTTTTCATGTCAGAAAAGCCTTTAACTTTTAATTTCGTTCAATGTATAAAATTCTATACAAAATCTTCCATTCGTTTCTGTTTATCACATAATATGAACAGTGGTGTAGAAGAGAACGGGAACCCTCCCCCATAAAATTTTAATGGACCCCCCCTTCTCTTTATTTTATCAATATATTAGGTGTATTTTCGGGTAATCGCGTTGTTTCCTTGAAAATATTGTAAAGGGAATTTGGGACCCTCTGCGGTCCCGTTAGCTACACCACTGAGTATGGACGAACTCATCTTCATTACTTATCTACTAATTACGTATTTTAAAAACATATTAAAAACAAATGCATGATCCTGTGTTGCTCAAGTTTCAATGCTCAGTTGTTTATTAATACGTAGGTATCAGTAGGCTGCTTTTACATGCGTTATTTTTCTAATAAATATGTTAAAAAAGTGTGGTCACATTCTTATTCGGAAAAGTTTAGTGGTGTTATCTATTCGAGGATCGGACAGAAGTTCGTAAAGAATGCACTGTAGTGTGGACCAGGTCAAGTAACTGACTCTATTCCGTAAGTGTATGTGTTTGATTGACATGGTCAACTATCACGTTCTGACAAACAAACCGATCTTAATCGACATAAGATATTACATGTTCATTCTTGCGAGTTGCTTTTTGTATAAAACAGTGTAAAATTGTTAATTAAATGAACGGTTATTCGGAGTAGAAACGTTTGTTGCAGTGTATATTAACTTTAAACTTACATATTTTATATGAGAATAAAGTGAAAATGACATTATGAACTTAAATAGAGTTTGAAGTGCGTGTTTCTGTTTTTGATAAGATGGTTTCCCAAGAGAAAATGGATGAAAGCCATGCGTTCCAATGGTAAATTGAACGGGAGTTGTTTTGGTTAGAATACAAAATCAGGTAGGTAAAATATTTTCAGTTTCTTGGTAGAGATCCTGTTCAAAAGAGGAGTTAATACAGATTTTCAACAGGATTACTAAAAAGTTCTTTTTAATACGTTATTTTGCTATGCAAAATCTTATTAAGATGAATCATTGTTACCTTTTTGGGAAAGTTATAAGTATTGCAATAATCTGATAAAGTTTTTGTGCATTATATTCGCGAATATCCTATAGGACTTTCGACTTATTGCAAAACTAATCCGCGTGTGTTCAATACGCAAACATTGAGTTTGAATTACAGTACAAATAGAATAATTATTATAACTAGGGTAATATTACAATAATCAATTGCTAATGTACCTATAACACTTCGTTGGGTAAAGGTGTAGATGATGGCCCCCAGGAGGTCTCCCCCACAATTGCACCATAAAAACTTCGTGGGGTTGAAAGTTGATTATTTTGACAATTTTTATACACTATAATTAAAATGAAATTTCAATAAAATAATTATTTTCAAGCGGGTGGAGGTGAGGCATCCAAAGAGGGTGGTCACTTGAACAAAACCCGATAACCTAACCTAAGCTAACCAATTGATAAAAGATATTTAAATAATGTTTTATACAACTTTCTCAATATTTTTATGTATTTTTCATTAGTTTTACCTTTGAATATTGTTTAAGTATGACTATATAAATATTTACATGCCTAGAAATGTATAAAAATTGGCATATTTATTAACTTTGAACCCCCATAACTTTTTATGGGGGGTGAGACCGCTACGAACTTTTTATGGTACAGTGGTGGGGGAGACCTTTTTCGATCCCCACCCCATTCGGGGGTGGGGGCCATTACCTAGATCTTTACCCTTCATTGAAATAAATAATTACTTTACTTCTAATTATAATTAGCAAATTGACAAATTATTGTTAATATGAAATTTTTCAGCTTGTATTTTAACCCTTTTTCGAAATCAGATCGACCGATCGTGGGCGTAGTTGACCAAACTATGATGATGATATTTTAACTATATTTTATTTGTATATGAAGTTGGGGAAGATCAGTAGAACCATCACAATGTTCTCGAGCTTTTTCTGTTCATATTATGCAAAGCTCTTAATTATCTAATGCACTTACACCTATTGCTTGTTCTCAGGAATAATTTCAAAAACGTCGTTTTCCCGATGGATTATTCCTCAAGTTTTATTAAGCGTTTACGACCCACCCTTAGCACTTAAGTGGTTTTATTACAAGATTGTTATCTTCTCTTTAACTTGTTTGTGCTTCGAAACTAGAAAACTTTAAATTAAATCGTAAACCACAAAGCAGACAGCTTGTCAAAAGTTTACCGTTGGCAGTTCTACTGCAAACATTAAAACCTTCACTCCTTTAGAGAACGTATGTCTGTCTATGTGTAAGAAAACATCTCATTTCCTTTTCACGTTGAGATTCTTTCGTCTATCGCTTTAGATATATTTTCATCATATTTGACGTCTTTAAAATTTTATGAAGTAATGCAATATACATGCACATATGTTAACCGCAAAACGACTGAATTCACACAGTAGAAATGTCTGTATCGTGAATATGGTAGACAACTTTAAAAAAATAACTAAAATTACGAAACTCTATTGCAAAGGGATGAAAAAGCTTTGTTTAGTCTATCTGTTTTTACTATTGTGTGCATATTCTGAAGTTCGGCAAGGATAGGTTGCTTTAATTAAATACCAAAGGTAAATGATATAGCTGTCTTGAAGTTTTGTAATGTGATTTTCTACACTTTCTCAGGGTAATCGTTGAAGGGTTCATAATTTTCTGTTTGTATAAAAATTCTAGACCATAAAAAATGAAAAATCATTATCTTACTATTTAATTCGGGCTAAAGTGACTATAGAAAGATTGATAGATAGATAAATAGATAATAAATTTATTTTGTTTTACAAGATATATTTTTATTTCATACAGATGAACATTACATTTTTACTTGCTCTATTCTTTTTACTTAAATATTGCTTTCCTTCGTGCTTTGCTGCTATTTTTCTCTTCCACAAAATTTTCCCCATTGTTATCTTTTTCTTCCATATAAATTTTCAATTTTCTTTTCTTTCCTTTATTCCAAAATTTGCCTTGTAATTTTCTTTTCTAAGTCTTGTAGAAGGTATTTTGGAGTATTTCTAATTTTGAAATCCAAGTTATGTATCTGTCTTGAATGCTTGCAATTTCTTTTTCTTTCTCCCTAACCCCATATTTCCACTTCGTACAATAATAATGCTCTCTGCCAACGACTCGTAATGACTACATGCAGACTTAAATTGAACTCAAAAGATTTAAAAGTAAATAAGAGGAAAAATTAGCCCAAAATAAAATGATGAGTCCTTTTCTGCTTTTCACTCTCGAAGGTCGAATATTCAGCGTAATGAAACAATAATGTAATAATTGTTAATCGATAGTTTTCACTTATGTTTATCCAGCAATTTAAAAAGTAACAAAATTATGGAGTAAATGGACTCTTGTGTCTCTATCCTCCGTTATGACTTCTGACTTACCGCCTTCTTATTAATTATTATTACTAACACTCTTCTCAATTGATGGACTTCGTTCAACCCCCATTCGACAAGTCCCAACTCCTACACATTTCATTAAACACCCGAGATAAAAATATTCAGTCTCTCAGAGTCTCTGAAAATGAGACTCGAGTCTCCGTTTCTCATCTCTGGGAGACTGGAGAGAGACTGAAACTTTTTGTCTAGGGCAGTTACATAGAGGTCGCTACGGTTTGGTTACATTTAGGTTATCTATTCCAATCTTTTGAATACTCTCATATATGGATATGAGAAAAGTCCACCGGACCGAGGCTTCTTTTTATACTTAGAACTTTAGTTGAATAATATATTCTGTTGCATATTTACTTTTATAGAGCAAGCGTCTAATTTAGCTTAAAAATAGACAAAATTTAAAATCTAAAAATATCAAATGGTAAAAGCTGATTAAATTATTTCTAGATTATAATAATTGTACGATCATATAACAATATAATACTTTAGTTTAGGATTTTTTGAACAAACAATTATATTTAAGCTATCATTGTTGGTGGCACTTACAAATATTTATGTTTATGAGTGGAATAACCCCTCATTTTAATAGAACAATAGTAGTAATAGTACAATAAACCGTCCCTTCGCAGAAGACTGCAATTAGGTAGGTACCTAGCAACATTGTCACCAGTCATCCTGTATTCATATCAGGCAATTACGCATATCTACAAATTTGAATGTAAGGGAGGTACCACCCTTCCACTTTGTTTTCTGTACCGCCCACAATCCAGAATTCAGTTAGAACAATTTTTGAAAGGGAAACAAACAGTAATCAGGTAACCATTGAACCATTTAAACGATCACCATTTTCCATTGCAAGTGTTGTACATGTACTAATTTGTTAATAAATTAAGTTCAAATGTTTGGATGAATTTTTGTGAACAACCCAACATTAAACAATAATTGTTTAAAAAAATTACATGTCATTAACGTACCTATGGGTACTATTAGGGGATATAAATAAACATTTAAGTCTATGAATTTTCCTATACCACGGTGT